TTTTATTTCAGTTTGGATAAAGTACAGGAGATTAAAACCAACTGTCAGTTTTTCACCATCAGCAGCTCACTAGGGAGATTTTACTCACTCCCTGTCTGGTAGACTTAACAGGAAGCAAGCGAAATTCCCTCTTAATTGTCAAGGGGAAAAAAAATATGTTGCCATTGGAAGAGGTCTCCCCTTTCTTCTCTGGTGGCAACTCTAAATTTTACCCTTACTTTTAGGCCTGGTTCACACCTGGGCGTTTTGCAGTGCCTTCCTACACTCTGTAAAACGCTCAACATGTGAAAACCAATGATTACCTATGGGCATGGTTCCCACCCGGGCGTTTTACAGCGCGTAGGAACGCGCTGCAAAACGCCTTACGCCCAAAGAAGTACAGGAGCTTCTTTGGGGCATATTTGCCGCGCGTATCCATTGGGATACAGCCAGGTAGCCCTCGGAAATGCGCGTTTGTCTTACAGCGAAACGCGTGATAAACGTGCATATTCGATACGCTTAGGTGTGAATCCAGCCTTATTCCGTTTACTGTCAGTGGTTCTTACTAGGGATGCACCAATACCGGATTTTCAGTATCGAGTACTGATATTTATCTTTCGGAATCGAGTACAAGTACCAATATTTATCTTTCGGTACTCACCGATAACAGTACTTCTGCTAGCATAGAGCCGGGTTCATTATCGGCCGTCCGGCTTCTTGATTGCCCGGGAAGCCGGCTCCATGCTGATTGACCGGGAAGCCGGCTCTATGCTCCCTCGCGACACTGCCATTCAGAGAAAATCTCCCTCTGACCGTAAGTTCCGGGAAATCGGGGGTAAGTATCGGAGCATTTGGCTGACTACGAGTCGGTGCATGAGTTCTGACCCCTGACCCCTCTAGTCCAAACAATAAAAAAGTTTTGCCTTTAGTTATACTTTAACAGATTTGTATGTTACACTTCACACCCTCAAGTGCTTGAGCTAAACCTTTTTCTATCTGGTATTATATGGAGTGACTCACCCTCTGACATACAACCTTTGGCTTGAAGCAGATATACTTATCGAGCGTGGGACTAAAGTTAAACTAGTGAAGCAGAGCAGCCAGTCGATCAGGACCGCGAGACAACCAGTAACGGTTGCGAGTCAGAGAGGTGCTGGAACAATGGACACATTGGAACATGTGTAGTGGAATAGGAGCTATCAGACCACCCTTCTGAGGGTCTAATAGCTCTAGTAAGTGTCCCTAATCTGGTCTTTTTTTTGCGGTGGGCACATGGCTGTAGAACTTTCGGTAGTGTGAAATGATGCATACATCTTTCATCACTTTGGTCTAGCTTTTCTGTCCTTTTTACAGTGAATTCCATGATATTTCTCTTATAAAACATTACTTTGACATTCAGAGAGAGAGAGAGAGAGAGAGAGAGAGAGAGAGAGAGAGAGAGAGAGAGAGAGACTGTGTTACTTTTTCTTATTTTCTAGCATTTTCTGATATATATTCTAATATGAAGCATAGTTTTCATGATTTCCATGGAGCACTATAACGTATTGGTTGTACATGTTTTACTCCATGTGTTATATTAAAATAGTACTAAAACTCTCAAACTTTTTTCAATAATGAATCCAGATCAAACAAATATACATTGCCAAAGTATTTCTTTACATTTTTGCCCAAACACTTACAGTCATTATGTCTCCTAACAGCTCCAACTCTATGAGCTCAGCTCCTCTGAACTTCCTGTCCAGTACAAGATCACAAGGGACAGAACCATCTCCAGCAGCTGTCCATCTACTAGCTTGGAAAAAGGAGACGGAAGGAAAGAGGAGAAGGAGGAGGAGAGCGGCTTGCTTGCGTGTTTGTGGAGACGCACACAGTTTACTAACACACACAAGGGTGGCTCCATATGTGCCTGGAAGGAAAAGGAGCCACCCTAAAAACAGAATATCAGGACCAAAGCTCAGGACACCAGCTGATTCTTCAGGAAACAAATTTAAACATCAAGCAGCATCCATTGTAAGAAATTTAATCAGCAATTTATATAGTTGAAAAACCTGATCCCTTTATAATCACTTTAATTTGTTAGGACAGAGTTTGCTAGAAACATCTGATATTTTCTTGATCTGTGCAACAACTGTCTGTACTGTGGAAATTATCTTCAGTATGGCTTGGACTTAGTGGGTACTTTTAGTCTACTTTGGCAAATGTCCAGACAAAGAACCAGAATTAATCTATTGGATAGCAAAATCTCCCTCAGATACACACATTGGATAGTGACTATATTTTGCAGCAAGCTTGTGTGGGAATTTCCTCAAAAGTCCTCTACATAGTGCAGGATATCAGTAACATTCTATTCCCTTGAGGGATGGGGGAGCAGAAAAGAAAAATGGTCCGTTTACAAACCATTCATATATCCCGTCTACTCATGTTTAAGAGATTGCACAATGTTTCACAAAGAAAGAATAAGCCACATAATGTTTGCCAAGTAATGAAAGAATACATGCTGTACCACGCTGCCCACATGCATGGATACGCCTTTAAAGTGGCCAGCCTGAAGCATTTGGCAGGATGCTCTAGAGCAGGGGTGCCCATAAGGTCGATCGCGATCTACCAGTCAGTCGATCGCGATGTCCTCTCCTCCCGCTGTGGGGCTTCTCTGGATCTCACAGAACTAATGCCGAGCGGTGAGGAGAGAGACACGCTCGGCCAGGATCCAACAGCCGGCGCCTGTCTCTCTCCTCACCGCTTCTTTCACTTCTTGTCGGATCCCCCGCTGCCTCTGCCTGGGAGAGCAGGGGGGATCCAGAGGAGAAGCTGAGCCCCCTATGTACCAATCCTCTGGGCAGGACAAACACTGGAGCAATCAGCTGATCACTCCAGTGTTTGTAAATAGCTAAGGATAAATAGTACTATGTGTCCCCTGGGAGGACAGGACGCCGGGGCCTCTAGGACGCACTGGAATGTAAGCCGGCTGACTCCCTGCGTTCAGGGGCGGCAGGGGGGTGGGGGGTTGTATTGAAGTCAATGGCATCGCAGCCATGCCCCCCGTCCACAGTGCGATCGCCCGCACCCGGAACGCAGGCACATCAGTGCCTGCATTCCGGTCCAGTGCGATCTGCAAAAATAGTGCTCGTTGCATTTTTGCGGATCGCCCTGGATGTGCCTGGGTTCCGGGTGCAGGCAATCGCAATGCGGGTGAGGGGCATAGCTGCAACGCCATTGACTTCAATGCACCGCCACGCCCCCTCCCGCCCCTGAATGCAGGTGTTTTTTCATTGGTAGATCTCATTGAGCTCGTCATTTGAAAAGTAAATCTCCAGACGGAAAATTGGGGGCCGCCCCTGCTCTAGAGTCTAGGTAGGAGCCAGCCATTCAAATCATAAGGAGTGCAATGTAGGCCTTAATCAGATCACCGGACCATTCTTATATCCAAACATATATTCATCAAGCATGAAAGTCAGGACCAGTCGCCACATGGGCTTATTACTGACCTTTTTCATAACAAGCAAGTTCTTAGGCTGGTCACATTAAGGGCAATATATAACATAATTTTACTTTTTTTGCATAACCGTACAACAATCTCTATGTGTATGAAGCATTAACAGTCATATCAAGGGGCGATGCATCACTGTTGGGAGGGATTACGCATTGATTTTTAACATGACATTCTAGTAATCTCAGAAATGGGAAGATCACCAGACCTGAAGCCCTGAATAATGGATGTGCATGTCAGGTGAAGAGAAGCTAACCGTAGGATCTTATTGCTTAAAAAACAATATCATCCCTCCAGGTATGGCCAACGTTCTATTCGCTTATTGAAACTCTGTACTGAAACGGGGTTATAATTAATATGCAGGCGGTGTTTGGCAATCAAACCAGCACTAATAAGCGGGAAACCATTTCCCATTATTAGACTGTCCATACAGTTCGAAGACAAATGTCTGGGGAAAGAATAAGTATGAGATCACTACTGGAATGCGCTAGTCCCATACATACTGTTCTCTTTTCCAAGGTTGGTAATAAAAAGAAGAAATGACTACATTGTATTCATGTAAATTTTGTGGGCAGTAATAATGTCTCTGTGCGTTTTTAGAATTAAAGTAGGCAACAAAATAGCTACCAAAAGATTGCCACTGAAGCAAGTGTAAATTGTGCCTTAAAGTTACCTTCCCAAAAACGTATTTAATACTCTGTGGCATTCTTTAGTTTCTCCCATTAATATGTTTCTCTTTAGGCAGTTCCCCAAGATATAAATGGAGGTACAACCTCAATTGCCTGGGAAAACTACATAGTGTGTTCTGGATATTATTCATTTGAAATTAAAATAGACAGTATATTCTTGGGGCTATCAAAATATTTTAAAAACTACAATATTTACATGTAGTATTCTGGGTGATCATTTTTATTAGGGAACTGGACATACAAAATAACTGGTTATGGGTATGACGAAAGATCAAATGTCCAGTAGAGATGTTCAGATACCATGTACTATACTCGGTACAAGTACAGATACTTTTCGAGCTCCAAGACTAGACTAGAGAAAAATTCAAAAGTTAGGAGGCAGCTGACATTTGTAAGAAGCATACAGAGCTCCTGGGATTTGTGCATCCCTGTTTCAATGCATGATTTATTTTTTTATAAATATATATATTAGGGATGCACTGATACCATTTTTACAAGTACTGCAACCGCTGCAACCCTGGTAGTTCTCCTGAAAATGCCAAGTATTGGCACTGGTATCTGAACATCCCTAATGTCCAGTCTTTAATGTCCAGTCTTTAATGTCCATTAAGGCCACAAGTTCTAGGCCTACAAATATTTTTTTCCTGAAAAGTACATACCTTTTCCAGCATGCTTGATTTTTAAACCAGAACCATCCATCTCTGTTAACTGAGTCATGTACTTCAGCAATGATTTTTCCAAGTAACAAAAACATTGTACAACTTGTAAAAATCAGAAGATAGCACACTTCATGGATTAATTTAAAATGTGCAAATATTATATGCTAATAAAATCTTTGAACTTACCCACACATGTACATGTTGGAAAATCAGCCTGAGCTCTTTTAGCTGGAGTGTCCAGTAAGCTCTTGGTTGGTGAGGTCAGATAGTTCATTGGGGATTCTAAAAACCCAGCAAGTGTAGGATTAAAAGGCAGATCGCTTTTTGTAGGAGTTCCGTCAAGTTGCTGATTTTCCTCTGAGTAGAAGCATGTGGTGGAGACCACTGTAATAGCACCAGAAGATTCAATTTTGACCTGTTTAGGAGATTTTGAGGAGAAAATATTCTCAAAATTATCAGGCATCTCCTGTGGTAGAGATCGGTTTGACAGTTTTGGGTCAGAATGGGTGAGCGAACGAGTGGGGTTGTCAGCTGGTAACACTTGGGAAGGAAATGGAAGTTTTGATTGTATCCCCATTGCTGGTTTTGGAGGACCTTCACCATTTTGAGATGGAATCCCTGCACCAGGGAGTGGAAATTCTGCACCAAATTCAGCTTCAAACTGCCTAATTAGATCTTCAAATTTGTCATCAATAAGCTCATTTTGAGTAGGGGCATGACCTGTGCTTGCTTGCTGGTCAGTAGGGTCACCTTGTCCAGAACTAGAGCTAGTGTCATCCATTGAAGATCTGGAACATGAATGACCAAATGCATTAGTTTGGGAAACAGCATGGGACAAACCTTTGCCTTGTCCATCACCTTGATTTACAGAGCACATTTCCTGAGTGTTTAAATTATATTGGTTATCAAGGTTAGGAAGAGACTGATCAACACTTTGTTTTGGCTGAGGCTCTACACTAGGAGCACAACGAAACTCTTCTATGTTGATCTGGGTCATAGGCATGAATACAGGCTGTCCATCTTTTTGTCTAGGTTTTTTAATTTGTACTTGCTTACGTGGAGGTTTAATTTTTACCTCTGCTTTTTTATTTGAAGGTGACTGACCTCTTTTTTTTCTCTCCTTAATGGGTTTTTCTATGGTCTTTGGAACCTTTTGTGAATTTGGGACCCACCAAGGTGGTTGTTCTTGTGAACCTTCCTGCACACTGTTTGAATCTAAGAAGAGATTGCGTTTATGATGAAGATGTTGCTGGAGTGCCGCCTGAGCAGTCCTATGGAAATTCGCTTCTTGAAATAGCTGAGATAACTGCTGTTGATTTGGTGACATTTTGTACATTTCTGCTGCTTCTTTCTTTACAGAGCTTTGTCTTGACTTTTTAACTTTGGTGGGTAATGATTCAGGCCCTTTAAACACTGACTTAATATAGTCATCTGCATTTCCAAGCAACTGCTTCAACCCACTCATGGGATCTGAAGAGGTTTTTAATTGCTCTGGAGTTTGAACCCACTGCTGCATGAATTCTGACTTTTGTGGGGTGGCGTTCTGGTTCTGCAGCACAGGGGAGCCATGAGAGAGGTTATTTTCTGGAATGTATTGGTCTTCTTGAAAACGCGCCTTTTTGGTTTGTTCCCAGGAAGGCTGTGATATAGGAAGTGCATTTTTACCAGTGTACTGCTGATTTTGAAAGAGTTCATTGCAGGATATTGGTAAGCCATGACCTTGGTCATTCCTGGCTGATGGAAAATATGTTACATGTCCATGGTTGGCTACAGAGGTCTGGGATGAGCCATTGGGAGAATCTGTGTTTGGCTGTGGAAGTGCAGAGGAGAGTTGTGTAAGAGCTTCAATTGCAATTGCCGTTTGGAGACTAATGTTCTTCTCTTTTGCAATACTCAGTGCATTCTGAGAAAAGGGAAGAGGACCAGATGTACATTTTGCAATTTTGTTTTCGTTGGCATGCCCATGATCTTTAGGATAAGAATTATCCATTATTTCCCTGCCAACTTGACTTGGATGATCTTTGATCTTATTTCCTAACCATTCTAAGTAATCTGGACACTCTGGCCCATCACAGTTACAATTTGGTGGCTTCACGCCATGTTTTGCAAGCTCTAGCGCTGCTTTTAGAGTATTTAGATCGTCTGGACAGTCAGGGGGTTTGCTTGCTAAAAAGCCAGAGCTTTCTCTGTTCATCTCATAATTAAATTTTTCATATAGCTGCCCTGATAGCAGTGAGGGAGTCCCTGAACTTGGAACGCCATAAGACATGGCCTCGGCTACAGCAGAGAATGCTACTAGGTTTTTGGCATCTTCTAGACTTGAGCTGTTGTTGGTAGCAGCATGATTAGGTACAGGAGAGTTTTCCCAATTTATTTTGTCTCCAGAATTCTGAGGAATAGGGATATTGCTTAACCACGAATTTGCTTCCATTAAAAGGCTGTTTCCTAAGTCTTTGCATCCCTTATTCAGCAGGCCAGGTTCACAATCCAGATTCAGCCTTCCTTCTTGAACATTATTAATGGGCCCAGTTTCCATTTGGTCTGTTTCGAGTCCATCAACTGAAGTGCTTTCTGAACAACTCTGTGAATAGAGAGAACAAAAGGAAATATTAGTACAAAATAAGTCATATTTATGGTACGGGTATCAAAATATTACTCCAAAATGAAAGCTTGTCTCTCATCTAACAAAAACAGAATTCCACAATTTGCAACATACTGTAATTGTCCAAAATATGATAAAAACATAAGTACGGTTTATTCAAAATTTTTAGAGTAAAGTTGGATAGCTGTATGCCATGCTTATTAGATCACGTCCAAAGTGCATACAGGTAACCAACCACCCTGCTACGTTAGATTTGCATGAGATGAGGAATATGACTCAAAAGCACAAGGCAATTCCTAGACACGAACTTAACTTGCATTTCAGAACTTTTCACATGAAATGCTCCTGTATTCGTATCTTCAGAGACCACCAAAATATTCCAGTTTAAATTTGTTACCTGATGAATTAAGGTGTGAGGCAATATGGCCAACCTCTATGTTGAAGCGCTGTTAATGGAATTTTAGTATTCTTCTAGTTTTATTCAAATGTATTCTGCCAATATGTGAGATTTCATAGACACCCAGACAGCTGCCAACATGGATACGAGGCGCATCAATCCATTGTGATTGCAACAAACTGGGGATTGTGTATCAATGACAGCTGTAATCCTGCAAGATGTGATGCTTACTGGAGCTGCCCAAATGCTTTTGAGCATAGCCAAAAAAAAGGGCAGAAGACAAAATACTAAAACTTTATTATTGGTGTGACAATAGGTACAGATTATTTGTAATTTATGCTAGTGTCATTTGCTAAGAAATATCACATGTTGTAAGTACTAGAATTTTAATTTAACAATGTGCTGTGACCATTTACAGGCAAAAAGTGATGATGAAAGACAGACCTTGTCTATTTGAATTTAGGAACAAAATGGCCAAATGGTACTTCTGCACTTTAGATGGTAGTTGGTCATTATAAACCTGGACCATCAGAAAACAAACTATGCCTTTTTGAATCATATACATACATCATTGTACACGTGAGGGTATAATGTGAACAGTGACATAAGCATATGTTAAGAATTTTTTTTTGCTGCGGTCATCTGCTACCTAAACATAGGACACTTGCATCCATCTACAGCACAGGTACTAAGCAATTACACTATCCAAGTACTGATGCATTTCATGGGAAAACTGCACATAGACATTCTTTAGTCAACCAGAAGCAAAGTGCATCCCACAATATAATCTAATAAGCACCACAATGCTGCAGGCCCTAGAACGGTTTTAATGAATAGGCAAAATGCATTTGTAACCTGTGCAATGCTTGACTTAAAATTGGCTTAGTGCAAAAACACGTATTAGAAGGTAGAGATACAGTCTAAAATCACCCACATCTATGAAAAAGGACGAAAACTACAGATTTAGCACAGACGTATGCACTTCTTTTTTTAATCAGCAGAGGACTATTGTCCGCTGCTGAAGCTGCATGGGGTTAAATGGGATTTTTATCCAGCAACAGAGCCTTGCTGTCTAAACCAATGAAATCCTGCACCAGCCATCACAGTCAGTCATCTGCTGCCTCTTTGTCTGCTGTGCAGGAGCACAATGAAATCCGGGGTTGTCCAACACTGCATCTTCTCAAACATCATCCAAGCTACACTCTCCTAGCTAGCATCACGGCCAGCCATTGTATTCCAGGAATCATTCTCCTGGAAAGTATCCATTCAACACTCAAACACTGCAAATCCCAATAAAGCCATTTTATACAACATAGCTTCCACCTCATTCAGCAATACTCCCCAAACAAGCCTTAGAATATGAAATACACATACCCTACAAAAGATAAAATGAACATTGCGATCTACGGAGGGAAAAAAGAAACAAAAACACACAAAAAAAAAAGGCATTTCGGTTTCAAGTACAACACGAGGTCATTGCTACAGACCCGGGGTAAAGGTTGTAGCCATTTCTCACGAGAATTCGTACAATCCAGCAAAATTAACATTTCTTGGGGCAGATCGGTGCCGGTAAAAACCGTAACGACACAGGTGTTGCCAAAGTATCAAACAGCCCACGTGCCACAAGATAAATTTATGCACCCGGTCATATACACAAAGCACATGATTACTGGCGTAATAAGAGAACAACTAATCTGCGCTTTAACCCCTTTGCTACTAAGCTTTTATGTGTACACGAGTTACAAAAAGGGTTAGAAAGCTCAATAAGGGGAAATGTATGGAGTTTAAAACACAATAGGCAATCAAACTTACATTTGAAGAATCCAGATGAAAATGAGGCGGCTAAGAAGAAAATAAAAAAGGGGGAAGCCTAAGAAGGAAGAGAAGTCCTGGGGCTTTAAAAGACGTGAGAGTAGAAGTGGTGAGCAGGAAGCTGCTTAGAGATTCAGCCTACACACACCTCACCCTCCCCCCTTCTAACAGCTGTAGGGGCCATTAGCCCTGTCAAACAGCACACGTACATTCTGTAAACAGCATAGAGGCTCGCCGCTCTGCTGCAAACTACGGAGAAAACGGTCACTAGAAGATCGGGAAGCGATTTTTTCCTACAAAGACAACAGCAAATGAGCAGCAAAGTCAGGGGCAGCATTCTGGTTCACCCCGGTGGCCTTGTTTGTTGCGTCCGCTCATTTAAAAGAAGCGGGGCGAGGCTGCGATTATGTTAACTCTGTCTTCCCAAACACTAGGAGTGCTCACGAGATAAAATTTTAAAACAAATTCTTTGCTCTTCTCCAAGCGCTGGCTTTTAGTTTTAAGTTTCACTTCTCCCTGGCAAAGGGCATGCAGAAAAACGGAGAGAGCTCCCATTCTTTCCCCGCTCCTAGTTCCATCTTCTCGTATGATGTAATCTGGGAAGCCTTGGCAGATAAAGCGGAGTCCATCCTTCCACGATTACGTAGCGTCGCCTGCCAATCAGAGGCCAGGCATAGCTTCATTTGCGCAAAGTGCAATACTTTTTTCAACAAATCTACCTGAGAAATTAGGTGGCCCCACTATAGCGCCAGAATTACAGGTTCCAATGTCTTCGTCTTTCAGTACAGCAGCTCATTTAACGCGGTCACACATTATTTCGGATCAAAGCCTTTGAATCATAGCAGTCAACAATTATTTTAACTTTACTATATTAAAAAAAAAAACCCAGATGCAACAACTAGTAGGCTAGAAAAAAGAATGCCCTAAATCTTTAACAAGCTGAAGGTGACCTTGACACAATATATGTAAACATTACAGTACCTGCACCATCTACCGCCTGTCCTCCTGCAATTCTTCAAAATTGTATCCACCACTGTATCTACAAAGGCCTATTATAGTTTATGTAAGCTGTCAATGATGGTGTTGAAAGCCATTGTTTTACCCATACCATTACAAATTCGATTGGACGATGATGGAAAGCATGGAGGACCAAAAGCAGCTAGCTACAGCTGTCCCAGGTTGTACAAGCTAACAGACCCTTAGGAATTCTGAACAGAAGTGAAGTGGCAGACATGGTTAAAATAGGAGTAGCCAGGTTATTCATATGGCACAATTATTGTAACCTAGTAGAAATGATCATTGCACCAGAAGCTGAAGAAGTCACACACCACCACAACAGGAAAATAACAAATTTAAAGTGAACCTAAACCTTCTTGTATAAATCTGTTCCATTACTAACACAACAAGCAAAGCTGTCCAATACTAGGCTCCCAAAGGCTAGGTTATGTGTGCAGACACAGCCACTGAATGGCCATCTTTTTCTGAATGTCACCAATGGACAGTAGCCACTTGACTTACTGCCAAGGCTGTGCTCCTGTAAAAGGTGGTGAAGATGGACTCTAGCTGCTGGTCAACAGGTATATTCCACATGTACGATTAATGATAGTATTTGCACCGCATATACACACCAGGTTTTCATTTATCCATTTCTACTTCAACAACTTTATGAAAGCAACGCAAGATGTGGAAAGGAACATTGAAAAAGTAATATTGTTCTTAAGAAGATTTATAATTTTGGAAGTCCGAGCTCCTCTCTCTGAACAGAAAGTTTGTCTGAAGATTATGCCATCAAAGTCTATAGAAATCCTCGGAGCACCCTACCTGCTTAGGACAGTGATACACATCAGAGAGCATTGGTACAATACCATTGGTACCACATATTGTGGTGGTGGGCATCAAACTCCCATAATAGTGTAAGTATATACAAACTCTTCAGTAAAAGAAGCACTTGCTGGATCTTGTATTGAAGCAACATAAACAGACCTTTTGGTCAACATTTCAATGAGGCACTGCTCCTTTTCCTCAAGAGAAACACAAGCAGTGCCTTGTTGAAATGTTGACCAATAAACCTATTTATGTTGCTTCAATTCAAGACCAGGTAGTGTCTATTCTACACACACATCAAAATCAACACTCATCAGGCACTTACAATTAAAAGTACTAAAAAATCTCAACAATGAAGAGCTCAGTAGTTATACTACATATAATAGCATTAAACCAACAGTACGAAGACATGATATAATATGATCCACAAAATCATTTGAATGTGCCTACCTGAATGTTCTAAGCAAGTCCCAGCCATGTACCTTAGGCCTATAGTCATTTCTTTTGAACTGCTTCTACTAAAGGAAAAACCTATCAAGGCTTGTTTACACCAGCTGCCACGCTCAAACGCATGGCTGCTGGTGTGCGTGTGCCCGGACACTCCGATGCGCTCGATCGAGCCGCATCACACTGTTTATTTTTTTGTTAGAACTTTATTGAAATGTCACAAGTGACATTTAATTAAGTTCTATGGGCTCACTGCGCTGCAATGTGGTTGCACCACATCTCAATGCAGGAATGCAGTGGTGTGAACCATTCCATGACAATGCAAATTGCCTTGTCTTGCGTTCAGGCTGTGCTCGAAAAAACGGCCAGCGCAGTCGAAAAACAGATGGTGTGAACAAGCCCTCAAAAATGTAGTTAAGATATGTCACATTAGTGGCTACTTAAAGTGATATTAAAGTAAAAACAACTAGTAGACGGACAGTTGCTGGAGACTGTGCTG